TAACTCTGTGCACATTGAGTATTTGCTCGCCCTGCGCTTCTCTCTCGCTTTGTGTTTGTAACTCTGTGCACATTGAGGATTTGCTCACCCTGCGCTTCTCTCTCGCTTTGTGTTTGTAACTCTGTGCACATTGAGGATTTGCTCACCTTGCACTTCTCTCTTTTTTTACCACCTGTTTATCACCAGTAAACCCTAGTTGTTTTTGGAACATTTTGGTGTCCTGTGTCTTTATATTATGGTGCAAACAAGCCATCATACAGTTACTGTATTCAAATTTTAAATATAAACTTATCAGAAGTGAACGGCACAAATAAGTAGTGAATTTAAAAATAAAACATGTTTTGAAAATGGATGGATTGTATCTGATTTTATCTGCGGCAATTGTTTTAAATTTAAATTAGAAGAAAAAAATACTTAAAGTATGATAACATACTGCCATATCCAAACCAGGTTGATACAAGTAAAAAACAAGTTTAAACTTGCACTAATTTCAAATTAAAATACATACTCCCTAAATTATCTTTCACAAACTTTAATGCAAGATCACAAGTGGGACCCTTGATTTTTTTCTCATACTCTCAGACACAAACATAAAAGAGCTGGACAGTGCAGTGTTAGAAGCCTGAATACATCAGCCACTGGGCTGAACTGGTAACCAGCAATCATATGGAAACATCTCAAGAAAAATATGCCACGCATTAATTTATTATAAGAATTTTATAATAATCATTTTACAATATTTTATACTTTTTTCAAACTGTCACCTTCTTTCACTGTGTATATTGGAAACAAAAGGAAGCATATGAAAATAACTAAACATACCTGGATATAATCGATCTGGATCCATTTTAAATAACACCAAGATGTTTAGCAGACTGACGACAGCACAAGTAACAGCCTCTTCAGTGGATCCTGAGAAACACCAGTAACACAAGATAACAATGAGGGAATGTTTACAGTATTTAGATGCAGTTCTGCAGATTGGATCCTAGTTTTTCTGTCACGACTTCCTCGCGCTTTGCTTAACTACCCTGTGGATCTTGCATTAATGCTGACATGAGTGACTGTTTGCATTTGGAATTTTATAATTAGTCACCAGGTTCCTATGCTGTTATAATTTTTTTTAAGACGGTTTGTTTATTGCTCTCTTTATATTTTCAAGTAATCAAGAAAAGCTAGAGTTACCCTATTTGGTGAGANGATTTGACTGGAGCGGGAGGACATTTTAGTGGAGCGAGGAGCGGTGTTGAGCGGAGCGGCATAGTGCGAATTAGAGCGGAGGAGCGGGCGGAGCCAACAGCCTCGTGAGCGAGGAGCGGAAATTCTCACCGCTCCGCTCCGCTCACATGCTCTGGTGTTCAAATTCCACCTCCTCTTTTTTTTGTATTTTTGTAGATTTTGATCCCTAGTGTTTAATTTGTGTCAGTTTTCTAGTTCCTGTGTTTTGTAACTTGTATTTGGTTTTGGTTTTTTGCTTTGTGGTCATGGTTGTGTTTTACCTGTCTTTGTTATTCCTCTAGTGTTAGATTCTGTTTCTTAGTTTCTCTAAGTTTCAGTTCTTTGATTTAATTAGTAGTTTCACCTGTTGCCTGTTTTCTTTTGGCAGTCCTTGTGTGTTCTACCTTGATTGGTTAATTGTTTAATTTCTCACAACTGCTGTATCATTACCCAGTTCAGTTTCTGTATCTATGTTCCTGCCTTAGTTCAGTTCCCTAGTAGGTCGTTGTTGTATGTCATGGAATTTCACTGGGTGTATTTCATGTGTATTCAGAGTCTTAGAAGTTACCTTGTGTTGTGTTATTTGTACTTTGCCTGCCTGCCTGCTCCCTATTGCCCTGACCCTTGTAGTTAGTCTTTGTTTTTTAGTCTATTTGCCTTTAGACCCCTCATGGTCCATTTTGTAGTGATCCCCGTGTTATCAGTTTCTGTCCTTGCATCGTGCTCCGTCCCCGTGCCAGAACTTCCCAAGCTCATGACAAAATAAGTATATTTATCAGCTATAATGACAAAAGATATTTTATTTCTCTCTATATTATTGGTAATTTAATAAACATGAATAGACAACATGGGGGTTCTGCCTACTCTGTGGTTCATCATCCAGAATAGCGCCTGTGTGTTTCCTCTCCAGGTGCTCGTGGATAACACTAGTGCCACTGTGGAATGCCATTGAAACTTTGCAAAGTGTAAAACCAGCCTTTTGTTTAATGATAATTTGAACTACTCCCATAATTATGCAGTGATAATAAAAGAAAACAATTGCTATAATGAATTGTAGTGTTTTAGAAATCATAAAGATAATTTCATTAAAATAATTTCTAAAAAGATGCATTGATTTAAAATATTAATGTCTACGCATTTCAGCGTTGACGTCATCGACTATGTTGACTAATCACGGCGGTGCTACAGACAAAGTCGTGTATAATGTTTGTAAATACAAATAAAGATCTAGAGGCAGCTCCTTATTATTTTATGTTTTTAACCTAATGCCCCCCCACCCCCCAGCTGAAATCCACCTGACTCCAAATCTCACTCCAACAAATTCCTCAAAGTTGGCAGCCCTGAAAGTGTCTTTAATATATTACGAGGAACTGCTGCTTTCTCATGTCACTGCTCTTGTTTCATTTCCGATAATGATATTTAAACTTACCAAGGCATAAAGCTATGATCATGATGTTGCTTCCTACTGTCCGAGCCAGATGCTTAATTCTCCATGATATTTCTGTAAAAACAGTATTTTTTATGATAAAACACAGGATATATGAATATCAGCTTCTGCCTGTAGCCATCACAGGTCACCTCAGTGACCCCTAATTATTGGGAAACATCGCAGCTGAGGAACTGCAGATGGTTACAAAGTATCATTGTGGCTCCTCTGTTCTCTCTCACTTTGTGTTTGTAACTCTGTGCACATTGAGGATTTGCTCACCCTGTGCTTCTCTCTCACTTTGTGTCTGTAACTCTGTGCACATTGAGGATTTGCTCGCCCTGTGCTTCTCTCTCCCTTTGTGTCTGTAACTCTGTGCACATTGAGGATTTGCTCGCCCTGTGCTTCTCTCTCACTTTGTGTCTGTAACTCTGTGCACATTGAGGATTTGCTCGCCCTGCGCTTCTCTCTCCCTTTGTGTCTGTAACTCTGTGCACATTGAGGATTTGCTCACCCTGCGCTTCTCTCTCACTTTGTGTCTGTAACTCTGTGCACATTGAGGATTTGCTCGCCCTGCGCTTCTCTCTCCCTTTGTGTCTGTAACTCT